AAATAGAAACCGTATGAATAAGGGAGAAACCCCATGAAAGAAAGATTAATGATTCATATAAATCACTTAATGGGAACCCGACGAGTGACTAATAATCCTGTTATACAGCAAAAGGCAGCTATCTCGTTGTGTTGTTAGTATGATTTGGGATAAGACCTTGTGAATGTATCTACGTCTTTGTTGCAGTCTTAGTCGTACTGGATGGTTAAATAACTGAATTTTACTGTTTCAACTACTACCTAGGATCTTTAAATGCATTCTTTTTTGGGTGTTTGGCAAGCACATGTACTGTCCAAGGTTAATGAGCATTTGGGAAATGGTTTCAATCACTGAAATCAAATACCATCCTTAATCCTAAATCAAGACTTGAGGATAGTTGCTCTTTGCGTATACGGTAGCTAATCATTTATTAAATGGGGGAAATACTAAACTATTCAAAACCAGTGTGTTATGCGATAGGAGGAGCCGCTTGATGAAGTGATAAGATTAAGATAATTAAGTCAAAAAAATATTATCTAGAAGCGTGAAATGAGTTTCTGGATTCTAGTATTCGATTGACCTTGAGCGCCGCTGTGTATATGGGCGTGTAGTTTTGAGTTCAACTTTTTTCCCAACATTCTTGTGAAATGCAAAAGATGAAGCACATCCCCTTATTGTCTATTTGTCGTCCTCTCTTCTAATTTGTCTTTCACTTGGTTTAGAAAGAGTGAGCATAAGCTCATGTTATATGAATCAAGTTTGGTTGATTTACATTAAAAATAGACGTGACATGCATGAATTAAGCGACTTCAACTATTGAAGGGATTTATTGTTTTCTCTTGAAATCTAGTGTTCGTATACCACATATATCAGAGTACAATCATTCATTATCAAATGATTTAGAATATATAATACATTATAATTGTAATTCTTATCGAATCGAGAACTCTTATTTTTATAGATTAATGATAAAGGATTGGAATCGGGGGAATTGTTGAAGAATCAACCTCCTCGATTTATCAGTTTACGTTTTCAAATGTCAAAATTCAAATGCACGCTGCTATGAGCGTGGAACAAGCAATTTTTTTAACAAGTTGCACTACTTAAATAAACACATCTTCAAACATGGGCCTCATATTATAACGAAGGACAAAACTTGTGGGACGTAGTTGATGGATTCCTTTTTCATATTTTATTAATGTAATTGTCACTCCTTAAATTTGAAAGGGTGCTCATAACGTGACCTTTTTTTGAGCCTTATAAATTCAAATACTAACTGTTTGCTTAGTCGGAAAAATAATAATATTAAAGACAATAAATTTGGAATAACATAACCATCAATATACCCGTAGTAATTAAAATAAATTTGATTATAGTTGATGTTAGGGTCACGTCTTAAATAAAAAAAAACCATATACTATATTTTTTTAAAATAAATGAAAAAAATTAAACAAAACACAAGTATAAATAATTACTTCAACAATTAACCCTTCAAAGAAATATCCGCAACGGATGAGGAACAGGGTTGGCCTAAACCGGACAGTTGGGTCAACTAACTCAACCAACACTTCAGCCCTGGGTTTCCTAATCCCTCCCCCAATTCCTAATCCAGGATTTGATTTTTCCAATTTCTTCCCTTATAGCAAGATGATATTTTCCCCCAATTCGTACGTTGCAAACACGCTCCACTCTCTGAGGGTGGGTCAAAAATTCCAACACTGCATTGGAGGGCATCCCTCGCACATGACTCGTTCAGCAGTAAACTCAACCATGGTCAATCTAAATTAACCTCGATCAAGTTTGGAAAAAAACAGTTTCAAGACCTTAGAATCTGCCACGCTGGCAATTTCCCATTTGCTATCGTTTTTAAAACGAGTACTCTTTCCCCCATACTGATGACGTCGAGTAGACGGTAGTAACTGTTGGATATGAAGATGGTGACGTCTTTGCTTTAATTTCTCAATCGGACAGTTATCATTTCCTTTGGCATCACATTCTTGCAGAGTTTCATAATTTACATACACCACACAAATTGGTTTAGTTAGCTTCCAAATTAAGATATTATTATTATAGGATTAAAGATAAAGAAAGTGGAAGCGTAGTTGGCGTTGATTTTTGTGGGTATAAAATTAAATGATACTAATATAATGCATGGAGGCTCCACTCCCTGCCATTTTCTTTCAAGCTCGTTCACTTTCTATCCAATTTCATCTCCATAACTCCTAAACAAGACTTCATTCTCTTATTTCTTAATTATTTTAATTTCACGCAAGCTTTGAAGGTAACGATAAAAAATATGATATTATCAAATAGAGAATTTAGGATTAAATTCTAAAGAGTTTTTTTTAAAGAAGTAATCACGATTTTTAAACATAAGTTATAAAACAAAAAAACTTTTATAGACAAATTATTACAATTAACTAGTAAAAGGACTTATGAAATATTGAGTGCATATTTAGCAATGAATTTGAATTTTCAAATAATATAAATTTAATTTCACGTTATTAAAAGAAATTTCAAATATTGTTGTTAACTGTTATATTGATATATGTTCAATCAAAGCTAAAAAAATGTACACACACGGCATTATTGTCGAACTCAATGTAATTCGTACATATTATCATTTTAACCCATATATGGCCACATTTTAAATAAAATTTAAATATTTTTACATTTTTTATATTTTTATTTTATTTAACTTTGAATAGAATTTGTTCGACCCTCCTATCATGTTAATAAAGGCATATTTTGTTAAAGTTATCTTCTGAAAAGTACGATCAACAAACACATTTGTACAAAATAATATTTTTTTCTTAAATAAATTTCTTTAATTTTTATTTCTATAAATAGTTATTAGATTGATATCCATATAATTACCGATAATAAAAAAATAAAGTTTGGATGTAATGATAAAATGATTTGTATTTAAATATAAATTCAAATTTAGAGTAACAAATGTTAGAGTAAAGTACCAAAATAGTTTCACGTTTATGTGATACTATTTTATGAAGTTTTTCGACTATTAAAAGTTATAAAAGTATTTTTTGATTATAACATTTTATTTTGTTGAGTCCCTCAACTATTAAAAGTGGTAAAATGGTCATTTGTCTATTCAAAAGTTTCAAACTTATTCTTTTTTGTTAAAAATTAATAGTCATCTGAGTTTGATGTTAATATGTTGTACGCGATATAATAGTCGTTTGAGATTATAATATCAAATTTTATTATATCATAGTCAACATGTTAATGTTCAACTCAAAATGTCAAAATTTTAACAGAAAATGATGAGTTATAACTTTTAATTATCGAGACTCAATAAAATAACATCATGTAATTGAAATATCACTTTATAATTTTTAATAATCAAGAGATTCAATAAAATGTCATTCATAATAGAGAGACTCAACAAAACTATTTATTAAAAAAACATTTTATATTTTACCCTATGAGCGCGTTTGGTTAACGGAATGTAAGATAACATTTGAGAATAAGATTATCGGAATGTATCATTACCATGAGAATGTTATATTATCATGTTTGGCTTGCTAAGCGGGAATGTAAGATTATAATATCTGATTGGAGGAATATAAGATTACTTGAATTCATATTTTACCAAATTATCCTAGTGATATTTATTTTTTAACAAGTAAAATTTAATATTAAATTACAAAGATTTAAATGAAAATCTATAAAATATTTTAATTATTACACTATCTAAGTTTAAAGAAAAAAATACATTTAACATATAATTAATATAATTAGTATATTAAACTTATAATTTTAAATAATTTTCATAAGTAACATATTAATTTATATAAAATATAATATAATATAAAAAATAATATTATAATCTCGAATGGACACATATATTATTTTTTAATGCATAACATATATTTTTAATAACTCAAAATTAAATATTATTTAAATAATTACATTTTTACAATAATAATATTTTCACCTCATAAAATTATAAAGTAATTAATATATTAAATATTAAAAATATAAAATATTTTTAACTACTCAAATTTATTAATATTTATTAAATTAAACTCTTTGTATATTATTTTATTAAGTTTATAATTTTGAGTAAAGCACGAAGAATAAGAATTGAGAAATATCCATATAAAAAAAATATTTCAGGGGTATTTATGTCAAAAGTGATGAGAATTGTTCAATACCTAAGATTTTGGAAATAATGACATTCTCATTATTTTAATAAAAAATGTTACTGTTGGTAATAAATTATTAATTGGTAATAATATTTTTGTGAACCAAACGTCCCCTAAGTATTATTACAGTAAACATAGTGATTCTACGGTACAATCACTTATTTTAAAACTAAGGAAATATGCGACATAAAATATTAAAAGATAATATTATATTTTAGGTTGCACAGAACCTAAAATATTAATTTTTTCTTACTTTTATATAGTACAAACATTATTCGTGATATTTTAAATTACAACAAAAAATATTATCATTTTCAAAATATTTTAAGTTACAAAAAATATAATCATTTAACTTACACAACTTAAAATAGTATGTTATTTATACCATTTTAAATTAATTTTATAATATTTTAGATTAAGTATTTTTTTTAATTTATGTTAGGTCGCATCCCAGAACACCCTAAATAAACAATACAACTAATAAAAGACAATGTAAATTTCTTTATTTTACAATGATAACTCAAGGTGTGAACGCAAGCCGAATGGTCATCATACTCCGCAGACCATTAATTCCATGACAAATAGCATGGCATCTCACAGTAAGTAAAAGGACACGTGTCACGAATCCAAGTGTAGAGGGACACGCGTCAATACATTAGCGGTTGCAGACAGTGGATTGAATTAGTCAGACGTCCGGAACCAGAGCTCAGTACAATGGAGTGGGGACGTAAAAATAAAAAATAAAACACAAGAGGTTAAAGCTTAAGACAGAGGGTTAATGATGATTAGTAGAAGTGATTAATAGAATTAATTAAGGACCTTAAGTAGTATATAATGTGAAGGGACCTTATGTCGTTCACACCAAAATTTTGTGAGAAAAAAAGGAGAGAAATCTTTGTTTTCTTTGGTGAGATCTAAACACTTTTAAGTGTTCTGGTTTTGTTATTTGAAAATCGTTCCCCCTTTCTTCCATTACACCCCGCTTCTCTGAATCCCTTTCTGTTAATCATCTGTTCTTTGAATCATAATCTGATTTTTTGGTTTGTTTTTTTTCCCACTACTAAACACAGGGTAAAAGGCAAACTTGGATAAGGATTTCTTTAAAAGCCAGGTGATTTCAGAATCGAGATCCAGTTTTTTGTATGATCCTTTATCGTTTTAGACTGAATTTTAAGAATTTCCTTTTTTTTTTCTGTAGATAAATCAGCTAAGAGGGCAATTTTTTGATCCCTCATAGTTGAATTCTTTTACTTGGATTTTAAAGGGTTTTGTCTATTTTTAAAAAAGAAAAATCTTTTTTAATCCTTTCTGGGTTCAGGACCTGTTCTTCAAATTTTGGTAAGAAACAGGTTACCTTTCTTCTTCCTTAGTAGTCTTCATTTTCCTAGTTTGAAATCCAGTTTAGTTTCTGGGTAGCGGCAGCTGCAATGGATTCCTTTCGTAGCGGCGGAGGACTAATGGAAGCACTTGAACCTTTTATGAAAAGTGTTTCCCCTCCTTCCCCTTCCTCTTGTCTTCCTTCTACTTCTTATCTTTCTTTCTATTCTTCCCAAACACAGCCCAATTTCTACACAGATGGCTGTTGTTATTCCACACCGATGGACTCCTTTTCAGGTCTCCAGCAGTACCAGCAACCTCAATCTGATTCAACAATTGGGTTGAATAGCTTGTCACAAGCTCAGATCCATCAGATCCAGGTCCAATTGCACCTCCAGAGCAGTCAACAAAGCTACCCTAACCAGATTCCCCGACCCAACAACACCAGCAGCAAGAGCAACCAGATGGTTAGCTTTCTTAGCCCCAAACCTGTTCCAATGAAGCAGATGGGCACGCAAGCAAAGCCCAAGCTTTACAGAGGAGTTAGGCAACGTCACTGGGGAAAATGGGTCGCAGAGATCCGGTTACCTAGGAACCGGTCACGTCTTTGGTTAGGCACTTTCGACACAGCCGAGGAAGCAGCCTTGGCTTACGATAAAGCAGCCTATAAACTAAGAGGTGACTTCGTGAGACTCAACTTCCCTAACCTTCGCCACCATGGTTCCCACGTTGAAGGTGATTTCGGTGAATACAAGCCTTTGCCTTCTTCTGTTTATGCTAAGCTTCAAGCAATTTGTGAAAGCTTGGAACAAAACCCAAAGCAAGGAAACAGGAAGAAATCATCCAAGGTGACGGCTGAGAACAAAAGCAAGAACAACCAAGTCAACTTGGCAGAGTCGGAGCCCGAGGATAAGACTGTGAAGGGGGACAACTCATCTTTGTCTGCGGTTCAATCCGAAAGCAGCGAAGATTCGGGAGTATCTTCACCTTTATCAGATATTACGTTCGCTGATTTTGACGAACAGCCATGGCCAGAAGTTGCTTGTCCTTCTGAAACATTCATGTTGTCGAAATACCCTTCGGAGATTGACTGGGAGTCCATCCTAAAAGCCTAAAAAGGAAAAACCTAGGTTTCGTTTTATCAAAGTATCGCTAGGAGTTTCTTTCCATGTAATTAGTTTTTGATTGTAAAAGCCAACTGCAACGGTGTTTTTGGGAGTTGCAGTGGCATGTATTTAGCTCATTTTATGAGTGTGTTTAGTATTAATTGTGTGCCAGTGTAAGCCTTGTTCAGCTCGTTTTATCCTGCTGAGCATGTCACTGTTTATAATCAATTAAGGTTAGTGTCTGTTTTCTTTCATATATGTTCCCTTCACATGAAAGAACCATTGAAATGTATGATGATAAAAACAGGACAAATGAAATGAACCATTGAAAGGTGTTTTAGTCCCAAAATTGGGTCTCTCGGTTCACGAGCTTCGTTACAAGAGTTTCTTTAGTATCCTAAAATCTGCTCCATATCAATTCGAAAAAAATGAAGACGAGCGTTAAAGTACAAAATTGATGTCTTCTTTTACGCAAATTATGGTGAAACTTGTACCCACGGCGTAAGTAAAATCTACCGGTTCTCGTCTTTTTTTTTTTTTTTTTTTAACTTTGTTCGAAGAATCTGTCAATTACTTGAGATTTAGTGATGTCTTACACAACACTGTGGCTTTGTTTGAAGTAACGCGTTTCCTTTCCCAACTCATGGTCATGGTTATAGTGATGGTGGCACGCGTGATTCTTTTGTCATAATCACGCATCTCACTCACCCGCTCGTTACTTTTGCAGATTATTATTATTTGCAAAGCAAAAAAGCTTTAGCATCTCTAGAATCGATATTTTTTTCAAAGTCTCGAGTTCTTCCTGTTAATTGTAATCAATATTTAATTTTTGAGTTTGAACTAAAATTTTGCATTCAGAAAAGTAGAATGAATCAATGAGTTAAAATAGCCTTCAAAATATTAAATTTTATTTTTATTGAATGAAAGTGTAGTGTGCTATTTTATATGTTCATTTTTTCCTTCTTTTTATTTAATTCAGTTTTCATTGAGTTCTAAGTTCCTTTTCACATCTTAATAGATAATTTAGCCGGAAATAAATAAATAAATTTTCTTTTTTAACAATTATTGCTTAGCGGAATAGATAGGAGACTCTTGTATAGGTGAATCCACAACTTAAAGAGAAAGGGAGATGTTAACTAATGACTTTTAACCACCTATTGTAACATTATTGACAACAAATTAAATCTTATATTAACATCAACGAGCATGTTCATAAAACATGTATAAATGTTTTGGATTCACTTATAGCTATATAAATTTAATTTAAAATTTATTAAACTCGATTTTATTTAAAGTATTAAATTAAATTAAAAATTAGAGAAATAAATTTTAGTTAGACTAATTTAAAGTTCTCTACTCATTCGATCAAATATGTATCCTAATATAATTGTGATTGTGGGTCAACTTACGTTAAAATAACTTCTGAGCTGGATTGACATGTTTTAAGATCTGAATTGGTATTTTTTTTCCTTTAATTATTTTTTATTATAAATCTATTCAAAAAATCTCAATTATTTTGACAATGAATCTTCATACTCCTTCCATATATGATGTTTGAATTAAATTTTTTAATCACTGCTTGATTCATAATCTCCATTTAATTCTTTATCAAATGAAGGCAATGCATAGAGCACAAAGCCTCGAACGATTTGTTTTACTATTTAAAGTTTGTCCCATCTCACGCATTCCGCAAAAGGATTGACACATTACTGACTTTTCAGAATATAATTAACTTTTCTACCATTTTTAGGTTGATGCCATAATCATTACTCGAAATAAAACTTAATTAATATAAAAATTATATTTGATATATTATTAATAAAAATAATATTAAAATTATGATAAACATATTTAAAAATTCAATAATAAAAAATTACACATGCTATAATTTTAATACTTGTTTGTTGAATTATTTTCTGTTGAGATTATATCAAATAATAATATTTAATAAATGAGCCATCTTTCAAATTAACTATAAAAATGAATGAATTCAACTAGAGAGTAAAAGAGAATTGTGTGAACAAAATTTGAATCGCTAATAAGTGAACAGGGCAAGGTTTTCTGCATTTCGAGCTAATAGCTGCATCAATCATCAACTGATTTTACTTATGACCATATCTTCCTTTTCATTGCTCTGTGACCATGGTATATACATGAGTCTATTATTCCCGCAACTGAGAAAAAACCTGGGGTACCATATATTATGTGTTGGATTAGAAGATACATAATCAACAGTGAAGTGCAAAAGGACCGTTACCTCCAACTATGGCACAAACATTTGTTAGGAAGTGCAAGAATGAGACATGGTGGTCTGAGAAAGTCACGTTCAAAACAAAGGTGAAATATAAGCTCACAAGATTACCAGGACTCGGAATTGAAACAACTTGAGAAAGAAAGGCTTTTCCCTTGTACATATAAGAGAAACCAACCTTGATTGGATAAAGGTCATAAGTGAAGAAAACTCCTGTGGCGGTCTCGAGAAAGCCTATATCTGCACCCTTGTAATGCTCTGTTACAGAAAACTGTAATGGAAAATCTCTCATGCATTAATCATCTAAACTAAATAAAAGAATAGGTCAAGTCAAAGCTTTTGCAAGTTCTAGCCATACCTGATACGATTCGATAGTGTGTCTGCTAACATCTGAATATATGGTAGGTACAACCTACAAGATAGAAAATATTGAAAATACCTCAAACTAAAAGACCCTTTTCTTATTTAAAGCTCGCTCAGAATTCAGAAACAAGATATGCCATATGCATCAAAGACAAAAAAGAAAAAATCCATGAATCCATTGAAGAGGTCACAAAATTAGTAATAATTCTTGCTCCTCAATCTAATTAAATGCATCATTCTCTCTTGCTTTCTAGGAGAAGACTTAAGACATGAAAGTTTAGCTTTTATTTGGAAAAAAAAAAAAAACAAAATTCAGCCAGGCAAAATATAAAATCTAGATAGGTTCTCATTTTTTTCTCTATGGATCTGTAATCTGTTTGCTAGTGTCAGTAGCATTTCAAAATGGAAATGGTTCTTCAATAAATTTGATAACATGCACTAACAGACTAAAGGAATAAAAAAATGTCCTCATAGTCAAATAGCCTAGATCCAAAGGTAATGTCCTGGCTTTAATTACGAGATAGATGTGATAGCTGATATAAATGGGAGATATAAATTATAAGAAATCAAACCTTCATGAAGTACTGGTACGTCCCAATCGGTTCTTTTTGGAAATTTAGAAGGAAAGAATATGAACAATGCAAATTATAAAAATATTTAGCAACATCCAGCTGTTGTGCAAGGCCAAAGTTAAACAGTTAAGCGTTAGCAAGTACCCATCAAGAGGTTCATCACACCAGGGAAAGAATCTCCAAAAGCCAATCTATTGATCTTGTGACTTAACTGTATCAAATGTTCATGAAGCAAGATTAGATTATATAATCTTTTTTCATACAAGGCATGCTGGCATACACAAAAAATGAAAATGATAGGGTTACTTTTTACATTAAAACTGTCTTTTTGAAACGTTTTCCAATCATGTTTGTGAATATTTGATTCCTCAAAGCTTTTCCCTGGTGTAAAATGAAAATTCCCACCCACCTTATTAACTTCTAAAGAGACGTATGTTACACCCTTCACCCTCTTCATCCTTAATCTTCTGAAGAAAACCTTCTCTCTTGCACTGAACAACAAAAAACAATAAAGTATAAATCAAGACATAAACCAGAGCATCACATTAAGTCATGTAGCTCAGTTGGTAAAAGAAAAACACTAGGGGTAAACAGACAATTTTTAGATGAGCTAACCAGAAAGCAATAACTACTACTACTACTACACTTGGAAAAGCATACACAGTTGCCTGCTAGGATATTGGTTAAGGCAAATTGCAAACCTGCTTATATTTTGCCGGTATCAACAATCAACAGCTAAAAACTTTTAATTACTAAAAAAAAACCTATTGGAAGTCGTTCTCATATAAGATAATATATAAAGATTTATCTTTAAGATAACTGAAAAATAAAAGGAATCAAGCCCTTTAATGCGCTGAGAAGCTATGTTACTAGGATTTGGGTGCGGGTATCAGATGTATGTGTCAATCACGGACATGTTCAATTTTTCAAAGTTTTCCATTTATTTGGATGATCTTCGAAGGAACATATCTCCGTAACCATGTCTACATGTGCAGAGTCCCATGTTAACTACCTAATTTTAGAGAAACAATTCCCCCTGCCTTCTTGGCTGTCAACATGGAGGCTCTCAGGGAGCTGGATCTGGAATCGGGTCAATACTATATAGGCATTATCAGGCGGTGAAAAGAGGTTTTAATGTATGCTATGTAGCTTGCCAAAACAAAAAATGAAGCATGAGCGTGATTTTCAATATTAAATATAATAAAGGACAAATCAATATTTCATATTATGGCTATGCGTGCCTCATTCTAATTGAAGTTTCCTGAAAAAGGATAGAGTTAAGTTTTGATGCAGACTGACCTGATCAATCATATCTGGATTTGGCAAAGCCCGACCTTTGTTTCTGTATGCATCACGAACATCCTCACAGGAGTTGCAACTTGCAACATTGATCATCAGCCTTCGAGATGGAAATGAAAAGAATGTTAAGGCACGAAAAACAAATATACCTGAGCAAAAATATAATACTTCTTATAACTGGACTGGTTTCAATGATTATTCGTCATCTAATTACTGACCTCATCAGTTGCCTTCAGTCCAGAACAAGCAACAACCAAAACGAAAGATATTAAGGAAATAGCCCAAAGAAAAGAAAGTTTTATATTATATTTACGCAAATCACAAGAGAACAAAGATTATTAGACTTGTCCCAAAAAAAAAACAATGATTATTAGGATTAACAGGATAAGGTACTAGAATCTATAAAAACAAAGTCAGATATCTATTCTGGACACCCGGTAGACTGGATTCTATTACAGTGAGCTAGCGGATGGAAACCTGATAGATAAGTCATACCTCTTCTGCACCATAACATGAACCGCGGTACGTCTCATTGTGCTCGAACCTG